AATGATAGAAAAAGTACATCAGGAGGATGGTTTTTTCTGGGAAATAATCTCATATCTTGGTTCAGTAAGAAGCAAATTTTGTGTCTTTGTCCACTGCAGAGGCTGAGTATATTGCTACAGGAAGCAGTTGTTCTCAATTGGTTTGGATAAAACAAATGTTAACAGAATACAATGTCAAACAAGATGTCATGATATTATTCTGTGACAATCTAAGTGCCATAAACATATCAAATAATCTCATTCAACACAGCATGACCAAACATATTGATATTCGTCATCACTTCATAAGAGAACTTGTTGAAGAAAAGATTGTTGCCTTAGAACATGTAGCCACTGAATTGCAACTGGCTGACATCTTCACTAAGGCCTTGGATGCTAATCAGTTTGAGAACTTAAGAAAATTATGGATTTTCCTATATGAAGGTTTATAGCAATTAAGGGCGTGTGAGAATATTATTAAAATAATATTATTTTATTTATGTTTCCAACAAATAAAATTTAGAAATCAATCATTACAAGACTGCCTCATAGTGTTTTCCACACGCTACAAAATTTCATCTTTCTACTTTCACAAACTCTTCATTCTCCTCTACAGAAAAAGAACCCTTGTCATTCTTCATCTCATTGCTCAAAAATCTTCAAAGATGTCTCAACATCACACATCGTCTTCCTCAAAACCTGTCAACCTCCCTGAAAATCTCTCTCTTAACAGAGTACTTGATGCTACGCCTCTAACAACCATCCCACCTCTTGAGAAAAGGGTCAAGAAACCCAGATCATCACATGCAAAGAAATCCAAAGATGATAAAGGTAACTCTTCTACTACTACTGAAAATAGGACAGAAGAAGAGATTGTTAATGTTGATAGAAGCATCAGAAGGCTAGTAGGCAGAGTATTAAATGAAGGCTTTGTTGTGTCTGAGATTTTTACTCCTCTTGCTCGCATGCCTCCTCCGGCTGACAAAGGAAGTAACCTAAAAAGTGTTACTGTTGAATCATCCACCTTCAAGAAATATGTTGTTGAAAGCAAACTTGAGAAGCTTGTTATCTCTGTTCTAAAGGAAGTGGAAGAAGAAAATGTTGAACAAGATGTTGAAGAGAACTCTCATACTAAGGAATATGTTGCTGCCTCCAAGGATGCAGAAGGTCAAAATACTGAGAATATAGTTAATATAGATGAGCTATCTGACAATAAGCTTATTACTAATGTGGTGCCCGGTATTGCAAGAAGGCTCAAATCCAGGAAAGTGAAAGATGCAAGTGTCACACCCCCTGCCAAGACAACCAAGAAGAAAATCATGTATGGACCCCTAAAACCAGTAAGTAAAGTGGTTCCTCCCTCTAGCAAAAGAAAAGCTAGACCTGATAGCTCCAGTGATGATGATGATGATGCTGTAAAAAGATCTAAAAGTAAAAAGAAAGTTGTGGTTGTTGAAGAAGCTGACTCAGACTATGATGTCGAGCAAGATGTCCAGGACATCTCTCCTATCAAAAAGTATGCAAGCAAGAACATTTATGTTAGGGTTTCTGATGCTCTCCTTGACAACATTTCCTTACATTCTATTGGGAATGCTAAAAAGTGGAAGTATGTGTTTCAAATAAGAATTGCCCTGGAAAGAGAATTGGGAGCTGGTGCTCTGGAATGCAAAGAAATCATGGAGCTGATATCTTATGCTGGACTGATGAAAACTGTTACCAAGTTTGCCAAATGCTATGAGACTCTTGTTAAGGAATTCATTGTTAATATTCATATTGACTGTGTTGATCATAAAAGTAAGGAGTATAGAAAGGTGTATGTTAGGGGTAGGTGTGTAGAATTTTCCCCTGCTATAATAAATAGATTTCTGGATAGGACTGAAGATGACTTTTGTAAGCTAGAAGTAACAGATAATCAAGTGTGCATAGTCATCGTTGCTAATCAAGTGAGTGAGTGGCCCTTAAAAAATAAACTTCTTGTTAGCAAGCTTAGTGTGAAATATGATATTTTGCACAGAATTAGAGCTACAAATTGGATTCCTACAAATCACACTTCAACCATCACTATTGGCTTAGGAAAGTTTATTTATACTGTTAGAAATAAGAAATTGTTTGATTATGGTACTTACATCTTTGATCAAACTATTAAACATGCAGGAACTTGTGCCATTAAGATGTCCATTGCCTTTTCTTCCCTTATCTATGGAATTATCCTTAATCAGCATCTTGGGATTCTAAGTAGTAATGATGTAGTGTGCAAGAGGGAGTCTGCTTTGACTCTTCATTTTAAGCTTTTTTCAAAAAAACATGTCCCAGACATTGTTTTGACATCTGCACCTGTTGAAAACAAGACCTCCACCAAGAATGACATGATCACTGGATTGAAAGAAACCTGCAAAGAACTAGATGATGTGATCAGAGTTAGCTCAGCAAAGAAGCTAACTTTTGAGAAGATGATCAAGAAGCTGCAAAAGGACAATAACTTTGATGATAGAGTGTGCTCTGAAGAAGGAGATTCTAGTGAGAAAGGAAGTTCTGACTCAGCCAAGTCTACTGATCCTGACGATAGTTAGACTATTTGATGTTTATTTATTTGAACCCTTTGGTTCTTTTTGGCACTTGCATGTGCTTGATATTTGATTTCTATGGTCTATACCTAAATTACTGATACACTCTTGAATGCATCCTTTTATTTGGCATATTATGACTAAAAGGGAGGAGAGAAAGTGAGTGACTGACCACTGACCACTGATTGAGGGGGAGCTTAATACTTGAGAGGAGCTTCATGTCTTAGAAGATGTTTTGACATCTTTCTTTGCTAACAACTATCTGCTAACTGAGTTTTTTGTTTTGCTTGCTTTGCTTATATTGTTGCTCTGATAATGTTTTAGTCAAAATTTGCCAAAGGGGGAGTTTGTAAGTGTTTGTTGGCAGCAATTTTGGTAAAACAATGACTTGATAATGTTTTGCTAAATGTCTTAACATTTGAAGCAAAACTGTTTTGAATGATGTCAAAGCAAATGTCTTGACATTTGCCTCCTGAACTGAACTCAGTCCAATATTAGTTTAAGTTTTCTGTTTTCTGATTTCCTACGCACCATAATTCAGGATTTGTGACTCATAGGCTGCGAAAAATATGGAGAAATATTTTTCTATTTGAATTATCTTTATGGATTATATTTTGACCTGTTTTCATGGAAATATTCAAAAGATTTAAATTTTTTTTTCCAACCCAAGTTCACTTTGCGCATATATAAGGACCTGCTTCCTTATTCAGACAACTATAACTTTTAAAGAAGAATATTTTCTTTCTGTTTTAGAAGTCTAAGTCTTTTAATTGTCAAACACTCTAGTATTGATTTAATACTTGTGCTGTTATTTGGACTGTTAATTGTGTATCATTCATAAGCTTTTAAGCATTGAATGATTGAAGTTTTTAAACTTATTATTTCTGTTGATTCTTCACTGTAAGTGATTGAAGGGATTTGAGGAGGGTCTCATACCTAGGTGAGTCTTAGGTAGAAGTATAGCACGGGTAATGATTAAGTGATTAGATCGTAAACTGATTGTTTACTGAGGGTCTATGAATTGATATTATTTAGTGGACTTGTCCCTGACTTTATAGCCTCTAGAGTATGTGTTGTTGTACACTGAACTGGATTAACAATCTCTTGTGTTTTTTACTACATTTATTATTGTTGCACTTTACTTTGTTCCTCAGATATTTGTATCGTGACATCTCATTCGACATCACATATCTGATACCAGAATTTCAATTATAATAACGACTTTGCTTGGTTTCTTTTATGTTAAGTTCACATTGACATTTAATTGAAGTATTTGTTCAGTGGGAGCATCAAAATGATATACTATAATAACTGAAGTGACCACTAACCACTGATCACTGCCTCCCAAAGATAACAACATGGATGCAAAAGAACCTACGTTCTGAGCTTTAAGTTGCACAAGGTTTGGCATTGAGCTTTCAGTTTCTGGCCAACTGCTTACTTAGCGAGAACCAACAACAAAGAGTAAAAGCTAAAATCGTTTTTATTTATCACAAGCCGTTGAAATTTAAACTTAGATACTCTCCTATTCAAATTCATATATAAGAGATCATGTTGAAGATTCGATATTTAAATTCACCTGCATGTTTTTTAAATAGTGAGATCGAATGAGTTTAAATGGTACAATCTACCACATAATACCTCATTTTGAATTCAAATACGAAGACCCAAATTCTTAAAATTCTCTGTTAACTATTCTCTCTATTTCTTAGTTAACCTTGATGGAAGAATTTATGCATATGAAAGACTTGGACAAAAAGAGGGCATATATATGACAGATAGGAGGAAGCTGGTTTTCTGTAAAATAAAAAACTTCTACCGCTTCTGCCTTCACCAAGGAAAACTTCTACCTGAAGGAAAACTTCTACTGCATCTAGGACTGAAAAACTTCGAAAACTTCTACCTGAAGGAAAACTTCTACCGCATCTAGGACTGAGTTAACACAATCTCAGACAAGGGACCATAACAACTTCTTTTGAACGGCACAAAAAAATGAGGCATGGACATTAACTGTCGGAAGAGGAATTCAATGAAGTTTGCTAAGTTTTCAAAACTAATTTGCTTAGATTTTCATATCATTTATGCTATCCATTTTACCATGCATAGGAAAAGAGCACACGATTAAGTTGTTGTTTCAGGCACAGAATATGATGGGTATCATTGATCAGCTCTATCTAATAAAGAGGAAACTGTAATGGTTGATTCCTCAAGCAAAATCTCATCATTGATGCAATTTAAGGAATTCAACATAAAGAGAACAAACAAGTATAAGCAAGTAACAACAACTAAACATTCCGACGGAAAAATAGTACCCAATTTGACTAAAGATCATCCCGAAGTTAAAATTTAACCCTATAAATTACCAGACAAGTTGTATGAAAGGGCAAAAGTCAATTAATGGATTGCATTAAAAATAAATAAATAGAGTGGTGCTGCATCGTTGGATACAAATCTTCATTACTCAATGATAGCTCCGATAACACCAGCTCCAACAGTCTTCCCTCCTTCTCTAATAGCAAACCTCATTCCTTGTTCAATAGCCACAGCAACAATGAGTTCCACCACAATCTTCACACGATCACCGGGCATCACCATCTTCGACTCCTCATCCTTGTCATTCATAATAGATGTAACTTTTCCAGTAACATCTGTAGTCCTCATGTAAAATTGAGGCCTATAACCGGCAAAGAACGGCGAGTGTCTTCCACCTTCTTCCTTCTTTAAAACATACACAATAGCACTAAACTTGGAGTGAGGAGTAATGGTTCCCGGCTTAGCCAAAACCATCCCTCTTTGAATATCGATCTTTTGAATTCCTCTCAACAACAACCCCACATTGTCACCAGCCATAGCATCATCCAAAATCTTCTGGAACATTTCTACACCAGTCACTGTAGTGTTCCTTGTTTCCCTCAAACCAACAAGGTCAACAACATCCCCAACTTTAACAGTCCCTCTTTCAATTCTCCCAGTGGCAACTGTTCCACGACCGGTGATTGAAAACACATCCTCAATGGCAAGCAAAAAGGGGAGTTCCACCTGACGTTGAGGAATCGGAATATACTTATCAACTTCATCCATAAGCTGGTAAATCTTATCCACCCACTGGTTATCCCCACGTTTCAGGGCAGGGTTTGCCATTAACGCTTCCAATGCCAATAGCGCTGAACCAGAGATAATCGGAATGTCATCTCCAGGAAACTCATAAGATGTGAGAAGCTCCCGAACTTCAAGCTCCACTAGTTCAAGAAGCTCCTCATCGTCCACTTGGTCCTGCTTGTTCAAAAACACAACCACGCTCGGAACACCAACCTGTTAAATCAACTAATCAAAAATCATATAGTACACAACAATAATGACCAAAATGAATCCCTTATGCAAGTGCCTAAATTCGCATTTGAATTCTCAACAAATCTTTATCCAGTTCATATTAAAACTATAATTGATGGAGAAATTATTATGAATGAATGTTATTCTAATAATTAAGATAAGATAATTACCTGTTTGGCGAGAAGGATGTGCTCTTTAGTTTGAGGCATGGGACCATCGGCACCGGAGACAACGAGGATAGCGCCGTCCATTTGCGCGGCTCCGGTAATCATATTCTTAACGTAATCAGCGTGACCTGGACAATCAACATGAGCGTAGTGACGAGTTTCAGTCTCGTACTCAACAGTAGCAGTGTTAATTGTAATTCCACGAGCGCGCTCTTCGGGAGCAGCGTCGATTTCGTCGTACTTTTTAGGGGCGCTGTTACCGAGGGAAGCGAGGGCCATGGTGAGAGCAGCAGTGAGAGTGGTTTTGCCATGGTCGACGTGGCCAATTGTGCCGATGTTGAGATGCGGTTTCTTGCGCTCGAATTTGCCGCGTGCGGCGCGGACGGTGAAGGGGGAGGAAGGACGGTTGGTGCGTTGGGAGGGAGTGAGGTGGAGGATTGTGGAGGGGTTGAGGAAAGAGGAAGAGAGGCGAGTTAGGGTTAGTTTGGAACGGAAGGTTGTTGAGTTTGAAAGTGAAGCGGAAGAGGAAGTTGTGAAAGTGTGTAGTGGCGGGTTTGGGAGTTGGAGTTTGGAAGAAAGTGCCATGGCTGAATTGAAGGAGAGAAATTGAGTGGGAATTGATAGAGTGTGGAAAAGAGGATTTGGTTATCGGTTTGGGAGGAGTTTGTGTGTTTTGTATTGTGTGGATAATGAAATCAGAACCTCTTGTTATAAATTTAATTTTATCCTCTCGATTTTGGATTTGACGCGCCGTGGCTCGCTACTTTGTATACTGTGCTCAATTCACTGCGGGTTAGATTTTATTGTAAGATATTTGAAACTAACTAAAGAGGTTACTGGGTAATTGCGGTAAATTTATAAAGGAAGTTACTGAATATTAAAATGGCTATTTATTTATAATGTTTATCGTTTTTTAATTTACCTTTTGTGTTTCTAGGATTTATAGTATCTATTTGTTATTAAATTATTGATTTTACTTAACTGAATTATGTCTATATAATGTAAATTTACGAATAAAATTTGTGAATTAATTATGATTTTAGTTTACCATGTTTGATATCAATTAAAATAAAAGTGATTTCAAAATACATTTTTTAATACATTATCATATACATATTAAAAATATTTAAGTCGACTTGATACTCGGATCAAAAGACGGATTGTGTTAAGTGACTGATAAGTACTCTCAAATCGAGATATATAATTGAATTACGACCAGAGGTCTCTAACCAGAAGGCGGTTCGTATAAGTCAAAGAGGTCTAGTGCATATCATGTCAGATGGTCGAGATGACCGATCGACTTAACTTTTACGAAAGACTTAAAAGGTTGGGTAAACGTTACATGAGGCGTTATGCCCCATGATTAAGGCGGCATAGGTTACCTCGTCATTTATGAAGGTGGGCAAGAAGTCACCTCTTAACTGAGCAAGTCATAGGATCAGATGTATAAAAAGTGGACTTTCCTTTAAATAAGGGATAAGCATATCTCTCGTATCAACAAGACACAAAGCACAAATTCACTAAATTGTTGCAGCATAACTGGATTAACTTATGGGAGGTTATCCAAATGTGTTTTACAGAAACATTTGGCGCCCATCGTGGGGCTTTGTTAAAAACTTTCTCATACTGCACATCAATATCATTCTTTCGAGGATGTCAAGACCATCGCCCAACAGTGAGGAGCCTCAGCCAGATATAGCACACTTGTTGTCCGTTGTAGAAGCTTTTCGATAACAAAATGAAACTCTGCTGTTGTACCCCAAAATTTGCCCTCCCATATTTCTCAAAATATTCCAAGAAAAATTCACAAGTCCAACCCGGCGCGTCATATTCAGGTATTCTTTCGCCAAGATATCTCTGATAACATATTCTCAAATTCAGGTTCGGCTCAAGAGATAATTCTTTAAAGAAGGTATCCGAATGTGCGAGTTTTCTTGAAGAAATATGGTGAAAAAATGTGCTGAAAGTGCAGTTTTTACGCGCTAAAAAATTCATAACTTGAAGATCGTGACTCATTTTGAACCCGTTCCGGTGGCCAAAATTCCGTCTTGACATTATCTACGTTTTCATCTCTCACGGCAGGAAGCCAATTTCGATCAGAAGGTCTTCAAAAATGTGGATTTATCAAGTATTTTCGTGCAGAAAATTTGTGACAGAAGTTTATTTGTGTCATGTTCAAAAAATCATAACTTGGTCGATTTTCATCGTATCGAGCTGGTTCCGGTACCAAAATTTCACAAATTGAGTTGACTACATTTTCACAGAAGGAATTGAGTTCAAACGGTATTCAAAAGGCCTTCGTTTTTTGCTCAGAGTGCGTGACGCGCTGAAAATCCTGAATGCTGAATATTATTTCATCTGAGCCGAAACTTCGAAAATTCATAACTCGGTCAATTTTTATCGGATTGGACTCATATTTTTACACAAGGTCACTGACTCATAGATCTACAACTTTGATTCAAAAGTCGAGACCAAATTATGCACCGATCAATACCAGTTTTTTATTGAAGAACGTGTCAGAGCCGACACTGGAGCCCAAAATAAGTTTGTCTGAGCTGAAACTTCAAAAATTCATAACTAATTCACCGTTTATCCGATTGAGTCGATTTTCGGACAGGAGTTAGTTCTCGATGTCGGCTACATTTTGTTTTCACATTTCAACTTCAAAAAATGCACTTAAGTCCCTGTGATTTAGCCTGGAAAGTGACGAATTCAAGTGAATATTGGAGGCCCAATTGCACATTCAAAGCCCATTTTCTTTACCCTAATTTCCACTATATAATCACCTTCTTGTCACACAAACCAGGGGGGAGAAAAAAAAGAAAAAAGAGAGAGAAAAAGAGAGAAAAAACTTAGCCACAACACTGTTAGAATATCAAACTCTTTCAAGAACCCTAAAACCTTGAAATCCTTATTACAAATCCCTCTCTCACTACAAGCAAGCCATCACAGTTATAAACCAATACCTCACTACTTCTTCAGTAATGATAAGGCTGGCTTGATCTCCATGATCCTAATCTTCCAGTAAGGCATAAAAGCATTCAGGTCACTAATCTTCCAGTAAGGGTAAGATTGATTTGATCTCCATGATCAAAAGGGTATAATCATTCATACATGCCATATTGTGCCTAAACATTAATATGTTGGTTTTATTTGAATTTTTATGATTTTATTTAATGTGTTCATGAGGTTCAACACTGCAGATTTAGACAGGATTCCATGCAGGTTCATTAAGGAACGTTGAGGCCAAATGGCCAAAAGGCCAGAAGCCAAATGGCCAAAACAGAACATTTTACACATGACACCAATACATGGCGAGGCAGACATTAAGCCAGAGATTAAGGGAACGTTGAAGCCAGAACACAAATGGTCAAAAGCCAAAAGGCAAAAGCCAAAAGCCAAATGGCCAAAGTAGAACCACTTATGCATGATGAGGCCAGAACACAAATGGTCAAACCACTCCAATTCACCTCCAAAAAGGGCCAGACACCCCCCATGGTTTGCATCATTTTTATTTTTTATTTGATTTTCCTTTTTCATTCTTTTAATTGTTTTAATTGTTTTCTTTAAATTCATGAATTAATTTTTATAATATAAAACCAGAAAATCAAAAACTAAGAATATGTTAATTAATTTACTTATTAAATATTTTTGTAAATAAATGTTAAATAATTAATTTAGTTAAATTAGGTTTTAAAACTTAAGTCTTTTTCTTAACAAATTAAAATATGTAGAAATTAGGGTTTTTAACTTTTCATCATCTTTTTAATAAATAATTTTTTCTTATTATTATTGTTATTAATTATTAAATATTTTTGTAAATAAACATGTACATTAAATATTTAGTAAATTAGGTTAAACTTTAACATTTTCATTAATAATTAAAAAAAACTTAGAATTAGAGTTTCTTTTAATTTTAATTTTCTTTATTTTATAAATACAAAAAAACTAAAAAACATTTCTTTCCTTTTATTAAATAATTAATTAGCTTTTTAATTTCATTTAATTTCTTTAAAGGGTCCAACGCCCTCGAACGTTCTATTTCTATTTCTTTCGCACATTTATTTTCTTTCAAATATTATGTAATTGCTCACGCCATGTAACTCGGACATTTTATATTTCCCGCATTTTATTTCTTTATTTTATGTCAAATCGGGTCCTGGTTTAATTTGGCGATGTGGACCCGCGCCTTTGTAATAGTTTAGGAACTTTATATTTCTCACAATTTTTAACTGTTAAATAAATGCATGCAAGAATGAATGACAAAAATAAAAACAAAACGCTAGATCACCAATAACATGACAAAAGACAAAAATACTTGAAAACGACACACAAATCACACACCACCCCTAGGGTACGCCTCACTGTTGCCTTGCCTCGAAAGGTGATCGTCGAGTAGAGGATGTCTTAGTAAGTCCTCATGATCCGGGAACCTGGCATGAGGGTAGCTTCTAAGGTGTCTTCCCATTGCTCTGGTGATCACCATGTCCCGAACCTCGAATTGACCCGAACACCTCCAACGGTGGTGCTACCTACCTCTCAATGGTGGGATGGCACTACTTTAAAGGACATCTACACAGACGAATTCCTTAGGGTAGGTAGACGACTCTAGATACTTGCTCTAATTTCGAAACAAAAATTCAAACATACTTTTCACACCGACACCTTTTCAAAAAAGCTTTCGAAAGCAATTTTTCAAACATTCTTGAGGACCGATACAAGAGTTGAACTGGAATTTTCAAAGAAACTTTTTAAAACCCACAGTTGAAAAGCAAACAAACAATTTTGAACACACAAATGAGCAAGTATCTAAGAGCCCATGGATAACCATGGATAGAAAGGGTGCTAACACCTTCCCTTTCTATAACCTACCTCCCGAACCGAGAGCAATCTCTATAAGGAATTTTTCTGTGCTTTTGTCCTTTCCATTTGGAGAAAATAAAAGACGGTGGCGACTCTTGCTTCCGCGACATTTCGCGAACCAGCGTTAAACAGTCAGTTCTAGATCCACCGATCACAGAACTGGCGACTCTGCTGGGGACTTAAACTTAAAGTGAGGTGTACCTTAGGGATAGTTCATAACTGTGTTTTCAATTGTCTTCTTTGCTTGCTTTAAATTGTGGGACTGTCTTGGGAGTTCTATAGATCCTAACCCGGATCTGGGGATACCTTCTTAGAAAGTAGCAACAAGGCTGTGAGGGAACTGTGCGGGGTATACCGACACGGTTGAAACAGTCTGCTACGTTGATGTGGCACTTTGGTGTGTACCGGTAACCCTTGAGTTCAGTCAAGGAGAGTACGGGGCCTCCGCGTGGTGTCGTGAAGCATCAACAGACCTTAGGAACCTTAATTGAACTATCTTGGCCTCTTTAGGGTAGTGAGATCACTGACTTTGGTGCAGTCCGAGGTTGGTGGATACTCGATACTACGCTCAATTGAGGGTTGCTTTCCTGGAATATTTCGGTCGCCAGTTCAGTGGCTAAATCGAAACGATGAACAATGAAAGCAATCCCGTGATATTGGGAACCTTAGAACCCGGTTACCTTGATTAGGACAGGTTGAACCCACCAACTTCAAGAGGGTAG